GCCCATTGTTGAGGCTGTTGTGGCAGTCCATCTCTTTGAGGGTTTCCCTCGCTTTTGCTGATGCTGCGTCACCAAATTTAGGAATGTTGTATTCTGTGAGCGGTATACTGTGAAACAGAGTGATGGGAAGGAAAAGTGGATTGTGAAAATTAGTGCACTACAATGGAGGAGAAAAGGAATGAAAGAACTTCAGGGGAAACGAGGCTCAGGAGGGTCATTCCGAAAAATCCTGAGTGGAATTGTGGATAAACTGTGGAGAGTTGGTGGTTGTGGATGCCTCATGAGTTTGCCATACTGAAAATGCCTGCTGTTGACCTGGCCCAAGGCAACCTGGAGGTTGAAGGTAGCTGGCAGTATTCTGCTCTGTCTAGAACACAGTAAGCTGGCAGGGAGAAAGGCTTGAGGAGAAAGGCTCCACAAACATCTGAAAGTACAGATCTGCTTCTCTAAGGGGTGTGTGTGTGTGAGAGAGAGAGAGAGAGAGAATGTATCTTGTGTATGTGTATTTGTTTATGATGGAGGAATGGAATAGCAGTTGACTTTAGTCATTCAGGCATCACTTTCAACGATTTTTGTCATATCCATTGTTGTGGTTACCTAGTGCCGCTCTGACAGGAATGTACCACAAATGGGATGGCTTGAACAGCAAGAGTTTATTCTTACAATTTGGAGGCTTTAAGTCCAAGTTCAAAGTGCCAGGCTCTAGGGACTAGGTGAAAGCCCCTCAACCTTGGGGTCCAGCTCTGCCTCCTGCTCCTGGCCCACTGGAGCTAGAGGTGTTTCTTCACTCAGACAGCTGCTGGCTGCTGAGGCTGAGAAGCTCCAAGGTTAACAAGTAAACAGGCACAGTCCCGATGTTACCAAACCACATGGCAGGCCATTAACTTAAGTCCATTGTAAGTCCCAAGGTCAGCAGAGCATAGCAGGCTGCTGAGCAGTGACACGGCTACATGTAAGGTCCAAGCATGTCATAGGCTAGACACCATTCCCCAAACTGCTGCTTATATATGGGGAGCAGACCACATACCCATAGGCAGCTACTCAGCTGCTTGTGGTAGATCCCACCATGGAGCTGATTGCCAGTCTCATACCAGCTGCCCAGCTACTCAGCCAGGCTCAGCCAAGTTGACACACAAACAAAACTACCACATCCATTTATCATTTTTATTTGTTTAAATTTAAATATATTAAAAACAGGAACTTACATATCTGTTGAAATGTCAGGTTGGGTGTGCTAGTTAGAGTTTTTCCTAATGTACATTGAAATAAGTACATAAAATTAGCGTTAAAACCTTCCATCCTTGGTCCACCTAAAATTACCTTGAAAAATATTTTCTTTTAATTCCTCTTTTTATAGATGGAGGGAAGACAGAGTGCCCAAGATGGCAGGTCAAGGGGAAATCCAAAGGCTGGAAATAGGGGCTTTTCCATGGAATTTTCTGAACAGGTTTAAGATAATAAGTAGAAGTTAGGTCTTTCTTATCAGAAGGAGCCCTGGCGATGCAGTGGTTAGCGCTCAGCTGCCGACTGAAAGGTCATTGACCCACCAGCAGCTCCGCAGGAGAAAGAGCTAGCAGCCTACTTCTGTAAAGATTTATAGCTTTGGAAACCCTAAGGTGTACTTGTAAGGTGTAGACTCTGTCCTGTAGAGTCACTATGAGGCGGAACCACCTCGACTGCAACGGGGTTTGGTTTTGTTTGTTTTTTTAGGTTATCAGCCTAAAGCAAATACGGGTTACACTTTAAAAGTTAATTTTAATTTATTTTATTAAAAAAAACACATTGAATAATTTTTAAGCTTTATGAGTTTCTGGACTTTGTGAGAGTTTTCCTGATTAGTTTCCTAACAATAATCTTTCTGGAAATCCCCAAACTTGTCTTAATTTCAAAGAAGGGGGAACATGGTTTCCTCTTGTTCAGTTTAGTGATGGGCTGTATTGTCTCAGCTCCTAAGCCCTAGAGTTCTGTTCATTTCATCCATCATCTGTGCACTTCCTTTTATATGCTAGGCACAGTGCTAAGCCTTGTGATGCAAAGATGACATTATGACTATGGTCCTGCCTTCTGTGAAGCACATAAACTGAAACAACCCAGTGAGATACAGGCAGATGCGGGAGAAATGAAGTCTGTGTGGGTCAACAAAGGCCTTAGTAGCTGAAAAAGCAAGAGAGCTGGGCATGTTGAGTAGGACATGTTGAAGGTGGTTCATGATTGGTGCCAGTGTGGTCCTTTTTCCTCAGGCAGCCTTTGTAGATGATTGATCTGCAGAATTCTTTGGGTTCTGCATTGGCCTCTGTGGCAGCCCAACAAGAATTATTTTAAATTTTCAGTAATTCATAATATCACTGTCTTGTTACCCTCACATGAATTTGAAGCAGTAACCAAGGAACCTTCAGTAATAATTGGCACATTAAGATGGCCTCGGAAACCCAAGGAGGGGTCGCTATGAGTCCGGTCCGACTCGACGGCACATAACAACAACAACAACAATTCCCAAATCAACATTTTAACGAGGGTCTGTGCTTCAGGATCAACACTTCGTGTTTAAATATACTCAGGTGTGTCCTACATGTGGCTGGCAATGTGGCTGAAGTGTCTGGAGTCATAGTATATTATCAGAGTAGACATGTAGTACTACACTGCGAGAGATCTTTTGGAGCAACCCTGGCTATCTCAGTTACACTGTCCTGGGTAGCAGGGAGGTATGCACAGTGGGGGAGAAAGTAGAATTTAAACTGTGTGTGTGTGTTGGGGGTATTCAGCCACCTTTAGGGAATGTGTGTATAGAGTGGAGAAATTCTAGTCTCCACATATCTTCTAACTCCACCCGCCTATCACCCAAGCCACCCTCCTGTCTACCCTTAACTTGAGCTCCCACACATTCAAAACTAGTAGTTGCGGGAAGATGTCTTCAGTTTTGTGCGTGTGGGGCACAACTGAAGGAGAAACTACTAACCTGTCTTCACCCTGGATACCGAAAACACCCAGTACGCTAATTGTATTCATGCCTTTATCCAATCTTAGACATTTGGGGATTTAATATATACAGGATCTATTTGTTTTGATTTAAAGAAAAAAAATTGTTAGCCCTATTGTTCTATGAAAAAGGCAAGAAGTAAGCCCCCAGGAGGCTGAGCATTACTTCAGACTTGCCATGTCTCTGTGTTACCAGAAACCACACCCTTCCTCAGACGTAACCACAGAAGACTGTTTCTTTTGGCTGGCTCTTAGACCTGGAAGGATCCAGTCAGCTGCCTTGAAGCTTTGGGTGCTAGACATGATAGGGGTAGAGTCCAAGAGTTATTTCTATTTCATAGGTCTTATCAGGCATGGCTAAATTATTGTTTTTTTATTCATCACAAATTCTCCTCTTGAGATGAATTTAAAATGCTTCACAAAACTGCTGCCATGAAGTTTCGTGTTTCTAGCCGAAAGCACATTGAGAAATATTAAAAATAGCATAATGTAAGGTAACATCTGATAATGATGCCGTGGTGCCTTTCTCTTAGAAACTCAGCAAGATGAGAATGTAGATTGATTTGCAGTGTGTGTTAAATTCTTAGTTTTCTTCTTTCTGAATGTGATCAGGCAGTTTTTAGGAAAATACTTGGAGGTCAGCTTGGGAAGTTGGTTTTTCTCCATCAGTTTCTCCTTTTAATAATTGAAAACTACTGTTCATTATTTACATAAAACTGTCTTTTTCTGGCCTGCTTTCTGTAACCTTTCCCCTCTTAAGAATTTTAAGAATTCCCTTATTTTCCCCTGGGGGATTTTGTGCCTGCTTTATCCCAGATGTGGGACACAGACTTGGCGTGAAGTTTTTTTTTTTTAAAAAAGCGCCTACATTTGAAAGACGTTCTTTTAACCTGTGAGCAAATCTTCCACTGAAAAGAGGGTATTTAAGAAAAATAGCTAAGAAAATATATAAGTTGGGTTTAAATTCCTGACTTAATGAATAGCACCAAAATCCCATATGCAAAATGAAAAATAGACAATAGTATCAGATAATAAAGAGAAAATGCACACATGGTATATCAGCCTTTTAATCTGAGATTTTATTTTCTGAATGAAGACATGTCAAACCACTTTAAGTATCAGTGGCTTAGTGTCTACTGTTTCACTGCACACTTGCTGATGTCAGCCCAGGGTTGCCTGCGTGTGGCAGATGTTTATTCTACCTTCATCTCCTCTGTGCCCCTCTTAGGCTTACACAAAGAGGATATTTAACTTACTTCATAATCTTTTATCTGGTTTTATCTGGTTGTGTCGATCCTAATCTCTTGCTTCAGGATGCAGAATACTAGGAAGTAGGGAGAAGTTAACCATGAAGGAAGCTATATTAAGAAATACAAGATTTTCCCCTTTTTCGTAGGTCCATTCAGATTTCCAGAAGACGATTTCACCATCAGCTTTTGGTTTCTGTAGTTTATTTATTAATCTCTAAAAAATAAAATGTAAACTTTTGCTGCATGATAAAATGTGAGAGGAATGCCATGGAGAGCTTTTTTCCCCCCTACTTTGAGTAAATATTATTTTCCCAAGCCTAAGTTGGGTTTTACACGAGGAATACTGATTTATCATGTTGTCTTAAGCAGTTGCTGTAATGCTGACTCATGTCCATCCCACGTGTGTCAGAGCACAACTGTACTCGATAGGGCTTTCAATGACTGATTTTTTTAAAAAGTACATTGCCAGTCTTTCTCTGAGGCACCTGGGTGTGCTCTAACGTCAACCTTTTGGTTAGCAGCTAAGTATATTAACCCATGTTTCTTTAGTTTTATAAAATCAGAGTTTAATAGATTATAGTAAACTTTCTCAAATGCTGTTTTCTTCCTAGTGCAAGTTTTTGTTGAATTCCAAAGATGTGAATTCATCAGCTTTATTTTTCAATATTCCAGTAGTGTCAGTTTTGTAAAGTTAGCTAAGTCTCTGTCTACCATATATTTCCTACTATGCTGTGTTCCCTTGATTTACATATGTATTCTTTTCCTCCCGTAGGATCTTTCGAAGATGGTTTGGCTGCCTTGGAGATTTGGAGATCTGATGCCACAATGAGGACTCACACACGGGGGGCTCCCAGTGTGTTTTTCATATCTCTGTTTTGCTTTGTGTCAGCCTACATCACCGATGAGAACCCAGAAGTCATGATCCCCTTCACAAATGCCAACTACGACAACCACCCAATGCTGTACTTCTCTAAGGCAGAGGTGTCAGAGCTCCAGCTCAAGGCCACCAGCACACACGAGCACATTGCAGCCCGACTCACTGAGGCTGTGCACACCATGCTGTCCAGCCCCTTGGAGTACCTCCCACCCTGGGATCCCAAGGACTACAGCGCCCGCTGGAATGAAATTTATGGGAACAACTTGGGTGCCTTGGCAATGTTCTGTGTGCTGTATCCTGAGAACATTGAAGCCCGAGACATGGCCAAAGACTACATGGAGAGGATGGCAGCGCAGCCTAGTTGGTAGATTTTTGTCTTTTTCTTCTTACTGTATTAACTCTTATTATTTAAAGAAAAGACTATGTATTCAGATGACATTTCAGCAGATTTTTGTTTCTATGTGTATATACGTAGGGGCTGGGGTTACTTGTTTGAGTAGCCAGTGGCTTATGAGTGGCCCAAAGGTTCTTGAGACCTAGTAATTTCTATGTTTAAAATTAGAAGGAAAATATTTAGATATAACCCAATCAAGGAAAAAATAATTTGCTGAGTTGGATAAACAGTATTATCTTGATTACTGAGAATTCTTTTCCCCTTGTTGAACAAGTGTTTATTACCATCATCTGGTGTTAGGTTTTGTTTGGCTGGGGAGTAGTTGAAGCCTTTTGCCAGCAAGAGATTTAATTCAATTAGGACTTATGTTGTATGACAACGAGGAACTAAAAGTCAACATGATGGGATTGACTCGCAGTTTATAAATAAATAACCAGCAAATTGCCCAAAATGTAGAATTCTGATTATGTAATAATTTACTTTGAGAAGTTCAAGATAGGAGAACAAACTTCCTGTCCCTTTTTGATTAGCTTATTATTTTATTAGCGTACAATTATGCATCCACCTTCTTAAAAAAAAAAATGGGATAAATTATGGGTTAAACTAGGGTTAATAGAGGTATTTTTATGGGTATTGTAATTTACATTAATAGTTAAGTTGCACTAAACAAATCCCAAACTATATGAAATATTTTCTTCAAGTAAACTACCATTTGTATAGGGCTGGCAGCACCCATTTTTAAATGCTTAGAAAGTCAGTGAATACATTTAATGCTGTGGTGACGTATATCTCCCTCGGTGTCACGGGTTGTGGGGCAGTGAATTGCTTAATACAGCCCTTCTAGCTGTGCTCTTTGTGGGGCCTACCAGGTGACTGAGTGGGACTATGCAGATGTGAGGTGCTTGTGGCCCACTAAGGGGTCTGGATAAATAAGGAACATAGCACCCTTGTGGGGGTGAGACCATGCAGCTGTCCCAGAGTCAGAAAGGGGGATCTCAGTACCATCAAGAAAGAAGAGCCAGGAGTGAGTGCATCCTTTGGACCCGTGATCCTGCACAGAACCTCCTTGATCTAGGAGACAGAGAGCTGTGACACCAGAGACGGCAAGAAGCGGCCCAGAGTGACTGGCAGTGGGAGCAGAGCCAAGAGACGGCATGAGACAGAGCATTGGGCTTCCTAACCTTTGACATGAGAAAGCTGAATGCCTTTGGCGGGAGGCTTGGTAGATTAGGGTGCCTCTCTGGTAGTGTAGTGCCTAAGACACTTGATTGCTAACCAGAAGGTTGGCGGTTCAAACCCACCAGCTACTTCTCAGAAGGAAAGTTGGGCAATCTACTTCTGGAGTGATACTGCCTCGGAAACCCAAGGAGGGGTTGCTATGAGTCGGGTCTGACTTGACGGCACATAACACCATCAACAACAAAGGGTGCCCTCTCTGGTTGAAGAACTGTACCCTAAGTCATTTGTGATCCTGAATTGTAACCTGTTACTGACCTAATAAACCCCATAATTGTGAGTATTGTCTATGAGTTCTTTGTGGCCATTGCAACAAATTATCAAATCCAGCAGAGAAGTAGAGAGCTTTGTTGGGGTGTCAGAATTGGTAGAAAGGGTTGGAGGATAGAGCTGTGTCTGACCTCTGCCTCATAGGAATCCTCCCCTCTATGAAGTTAGAGGAGGTCAGACACTGCCACCTTCATGTCATTTTTATGCACAGAGACCCTGAATGGGGTGAACTGTTAACACATTTGGCTATTAACCAAAAGATTGGAGGTTCAAGTCCACTCAGAGACACCTTGGAAGAAAAGCCTGGTGATCTCCTTCCAGAAAATCAGCCATTGTAAGCCCTGTGTAGCTCAATTCTCTGAAACACATGGGGTTGCCATGAGTTGGAATTGATTTGACAGCAACTGGTAGTAAGTGAGAATGTCACTAGGGTGAAAATGTAACCTCCTTGATAAAAGTTTTGCCAGAGAATACTGTTTGCTTAGAGATTTTTTTTCCTCCTTATACTTTTTATTGTGATCTTGTTCAAAGTTTATAGGGCAAAGCAGTTTCCACTCAACAATTCACACACATTTTGTTTCATGTCATTGATTGCAATCCCTTCCTTGTAACATCACTCCTCCCACATTTTCCCTATGTTTCTTGTTTCCATGCCTCCTTTCCTAACCCTTCTTGCCTTCTGAACTTTGTCCTTGGGCAAATGCTGCCCTTTTGATCTTGAGTGATTGATGATTCTAAGGAGTGTGCACCTTCCTAAAGTGCTTGCTGGCCTTATAGACTTGTCTATTCTTTGACTGAAAATTGAGCTCTGGGAATGTATTCAGTTCCAGGTATGAAGGGTGACCGAGGGCCATGGTCTCAGCTTCAGCCAGTTGGTATTTGACTAGTAAGGCTGGTCCTTGTTAAGGTTTTGGGTTTTGTTCCACATATTTTTCCCACTCTATCCAGAACCTTCTAACGTAATCCCTTTCAGAGCAGTTGCTAGTTGTAGCCAGATACCATCTAGTTCTTCTGGTCTCAGAGTTGTGGAGGAGAAAGTTCTTGTGGTCCATTTGTCCTTTGGACTAATTGTTTCCATGTGTCTTTGATTTTCTTCACTCCTATTTGCTCCAAACAGGGAGAAACCAATAGTTGCACCTTAGATGGCCACTCGCAAGCTTTTTAGACTCCAGTTGCTACTCACCAAAGTGGGATGTAGAACATTGCCCTTGTTGTGACAGTTTACCTTGATGTTTCCCTAAACTGGCCTCCCTTTTTAGTTTCTTCTGGGAAGACTTGAACTTCCAGCCTTTTGGTTAGCAACTAAACGTGTTAACCATTTGCACCACTCAGGGTCTCTGCAGTTCAGTGGCCTCTGTTTAAATTGCTCAACTAATCATGTCCCTGCAAAGAATTATGTTGTAGTTATTGTCCTTGTCTTAGGATATAGTTCACATATATATGATTTCAGAAAAATGAGGACTAGGTCTTATTTACAAAAGAGAAATAATTAGCATTGTGGCATTAAAGGAAAAACTTCATACAATGATTTCATCAGACTGGATACATTTGTTGTTTCTCCTGTTTTGGAAAGTCGTAGACTAAATTCCAGTCATTCTTTTTTTATTTTAATTTAATGAATAAACATTTATTGAGCATGTACTGTTTGTTGTGTACTATGCCAGTGCTGCAGGTTCAAAGATGAGGACCTCAGTACTTATGTAATTTGCACCCAGGGTAAGAGTGCAAACACTGGGGTATTTGAAACCTAAGCTTGTTGTTGTTATGTTTTGTTGTCGTTATATGCTGTCGAGTAGGACCCGACTCATAGTGACCTCTCCTTGGGTTTCCAAGGTGGTATCACTATGGAAGTAGATTGCCCAACCTTCCTTCCGAGAAGTGGCTGGTGGGTTTGAACTTCCAGCCTTCTGGTTAGCAGTCAAGTGCTTTAGGCACTATGCTACCAGAGCTCCTTAGCTTTCTGGATTGATCTAAGGATTATTTAATAAGGATTTCATTAGTTTTGGTTTATGATTAACTAAGTGAGTTATATCATACTACACTCTAGTAGGAGCTCTGGTAGCATATTGCCTAAGGCACTTGACTGCTAACCAGAAAGCTGGCAGTTCAAATCCACCAGCCACTCCTCGGAAGGAAGGTTGGGCAATCTACTTCCATAGTGATACCACCTCGGAAACCCAAGGAGGGGTCGCTATGAGTCGGGTCTGAGTTGATGGCACATAACAACAACACACTCTAGTACTATAGAAAAGCACCAACTGTAGAATGAGATGGTCTGGGTTTTTAATCCTGTCTTCCCCCTCTTCAGCTGTGTTACTCCAGACAAATTTACTTAACTTTTCTGAGCCATAATGTGTAAAATGGCAATAACAACAATATAAACCTCACTGTGTTGTTATGAGGATTAAATGAGATAAAGCAAAACCAAATTCCCTGCCATTGAGTTGATTCTGACTCATAGTGACCCCCTTTGGGTTTCCAAGGCAGCAAGTCTTTACAGAAGTACATTGCCCAGTCTTCCTTCCATGGAGTGCTGGTGGATTTGAATCACCAGCCTTCTGATTAGCAGGTCACCGGAGCTAATTAGCCACCAGAACTCCTTGATTAAAGGAGATAGTTAATGTAAAATACTTAGCATAGTTCATGTCACAGTAAACCTTCAATAAATAAGTAAAACAACAAGAATGGTAATTATTGTTCCTGTTAATTCACCTAGTATTTAAATGTTGTTTGCGATTAATTCAGAGATTTTAATCATCCATGTTAAAAATGCTTTCAAAAGTAGAACATTTGTTTAACTCATAAAAGTTTTTCTTTTGAAATTGTTACATTAAAACTTTCAGTGATGTTCCCTTGGGCTTTTTTTTTTTTTTTTTTTTTAAATGCATGCAGGAATCTATTGGTAACACCAATGAAGGAGACTTGGAGGAAATTAACGATGATGTGTCTTTGGCCTGATATTAAAAGAAGTACATATGAGATATACCTGCATACAAATTTATGAATGTGGCTCATTCCACTTGAGTATTTAGTGAATAAAGAGCTAAAAGGCTCATGTATAGATTCATTTATTTAAGAATTGGGCCACTATAAAAGAAACGTTAAATGGAAAATATTATGTAATTATATATACTATCTTACGTATATCTCATATAACGGACTACAAAGTAGAAAGAGAACTGATGAGTTGATAATGATGATGGTAGTGATGGAAAAATAACATACAGAGCTTCCTTTGGTGTATAACTATGGGAGTCTCTGAGTACCCAAACGACTGGGCATTGGTCACAGAGATGAGCTTTGGCAGACAGCTGCCCAGTCCTCTCAGAAACCCTCTTCTTTCTGTTAATGCTTATATATGTTTGCCATAAAATAACAGTGAAATTAGAGTAATTTAAATTTGTTCTTAGTTCTAAAACTCAGATTCAAAAGAGGATTATTTTAACCTAATATATTGACAGATT